TTAATATATTCCATGAATTATAAATATTTAATCAATAATAATAACAAAAAACTTTGTTAGGAATTTTAGTTAAGAAACAAAAAAAAAAAAAAAGAAGAAACAATCAAGAGGAAAAAAAAAAAGAAACAATCAAGAGGAAAAAAAATTTTTTTACAATGAGTGGTGCTTAAGTACTAATTAAGTTGGAGGTTATAAGTCTACACACTCCTAACAAATCATTTCTGAGATGTTCATGTACCAAACCATGTGTATCCCTCCCCTTTCTAAATGGTAAAATCCCAAAGCCATGTAATATGGATTGTAGTGCGATTCCTTGAAAATGTGATGCATCTCACATTGCCATTCTCATTGCATAAAACCCTTGCACTTGCATATCTTATTGGTTAGCATACTCCTTATTTCTTTTTAGTTTTTATCAATATTGCCTTGAAAGGAAATCAATGGACTATATATAGTAGGAAGAGAATTTCAAGAGATAGGTAATAATATTAGAAAATTAATGATAATAATGAGAATATTTTATGAGAGGAAGATTTAAATATATTTATTATCTAGTGAGTTTTTTATGAAAGGGAAAATCAAAAGATATGTCTCTTTTTCTTCTTGTGATTTAATGTATATGTAACGGAAAATAGTAATGAACATATTAATTTAATATCCATAAAAAAATTAGAGAAATTATTTTACTACATATTTATTTATTAATTAGGGATATATAGCAAGTTTAACCAACTCATTAATATAAAATGTACTCTTGTTTTTTTTTTTCTTTTCATGTTTCTAAACTATTGTTAATGCATATCTTATTTAATGCATAAGGTAGTATTATATATATATAGATATATAGATTATATAAGATAAGATAAGACAAACTGATCTTAAATATTACGAATTAGCATGCTACAAAAAAAAGGGAGGAAATGCAAACAAATACCTAATATTATATTAAACGAAAAAAAAAATTTGGAACTCACCATATTAGTAAAAAGAAATTGTAGGGATGAAGAGAAGAATATGATATATTGATATAAAGAAAGTAACTAATAATTAGAGATGGGGAGGAAGATGAAAGGATAAGAAGATAGAAGGGCATGGAGGAAAATCATGGAAAAAAGATATCATAATAAATATATATTATTATATTATTATTATAAATTAAATATATATTAAATATATATATATAATGCTACCCTATTTAATGCATAGAGTAGAATGAAATTAAAGAGATAAAGAGAAGAATATAATATATTGGTGTAAAAAAAAAGTGATGGTTTATATACAAGTGAGTAAAAA